GGGAGGGTATTCGCTACATTCGGAATCATCCTATCTGCTAAGTATAAACGGCTCACGAAAATTATTGGCATAAAGATTCATCAATGCTTGTTTATTAGTGTTTAGAAAAAAAACTTACTTCAATATAAATGCTACTGCCTGTACGAGCCATTACGTGTGTAACAGGGACCAGTTGCTTTAGTTTCGAATACACCTGTCCTTATAATGTATATATATATATATATATATCAAGTGGAGACTTGGATTTCTGTATCAAACGTTGACTGGAATTCTAGTATCATCCATTTACCCTTACAGTTCGATCTTTTATTTGAAATTTCCTACTTTCCGATAAAAAAAATGTACAGTCAACTTTCATGGAAGCCGGGGAAGGGAAGGGGGCGCTACCGTTTTAAAACTTGTCTGAGGGAAATAGATTCTTTCTTTGTTCACAACGGACTGCTTCAAGCAGAGATTCGATGAATTATATTCGCAGGTCTAATATCGTCCCATTCCATAAGGTACATCAACCCTTCAAATCATGTGAGGGTTCTTCATACAAGACGATTCTTTACACTGTGATTATCATTTTTTTTCACCGGGAAAAAGCCGATTCATTTGTACCCCCAAATCTTGTTGTATCACATCTGGGAGCACTGCCCGGAGTAAAACCTTAACTCTGACACAATGCCATTTCCCATCAACCTTTAGCCGAAATCCACAGCCCTTTATCCTTGACTCACATTCCTTTAGAGAAAACCCGCAATGCTTCAGTCTGAACCCACAATCCGTTACGATCAACGCATAAGTTTTAGTCATATCGCTGTAGGCGAGTCAGATGGAAAACGTATCGAAATATTTTGCGGTTAACGAATGTTGAAACGTATTCTTTTTCTACCAAAGATTGATGTTGCAAAGCTTGATTAGTAAATGAGGCGTAGCAATTGTATGCTGAGCAGTTTATCATCGTAATTATATCAAATTCCGCACCACTAATTAAACAGCGAAAGTTTGATCGATATGCTTGTCTCATCAAACCGTTTGGCACATCTTAAGTGTTTTCAGTGAACCAAATTTAATGTATCGAATAATAAAGGAATTAAAGAATTGAAAACGCTTACATATTCGAAGACCTCCTCCAGCGGGTTCAAAAGGGGACTGACTGAATGGTGGAGGAAATCAAATTTGGTAGTTGGCAGTTGTGATTGGGCATCCAAAGCCTTATGATGAACGCGTGCATTGCCGAAACTTTAAACAACTGAAACACCCGGTTGTTCAGGTGCGATTAACATAGAACAGCATGATGGAAACTCATGCCAAGCAATCATTATCTAACATCAATATTTCAAATGACCAGTGACAGATGAATACACTGTTTTGTTCAAAATGGGTCCTTTGCAGGATGGGAGGCTTTGAACTGGTTTACAGCCCAATTTGGAGCGTCCAAAGCTGTGATAACATCATATGTTGCAGTTGGTCTTAGTCGCCTCAGTGTTGCATTACCCGATCACTTTAACCGATCGGCCTATTCCGCTCTTTTCAATTTGACAGTTTCTGAGTTCCGTTCCGCGGTCTGGATGGTTAGCTTCTTAATCGAATAGTGATGACTATCCAGCAATCGATCAATCGAAGTCTTGTTGGTAGATGTATCCGGGAAGTCCTTCTACATTCCTTCAATGTGGTTGTGGAATTCCAATGAAGAACATCACACAGATGTTTAGTGAACTTGTCGATAAACTTCACCTGGTCAGAGCCATGCTTCAGTGCTATTTTCTGACCTGTGGCTACATGACATGTTTTGATCTTAATGCCGAGGTGTTTTGAAACTTCTTTCAAATCATCACCTTTGCGTACACATTCAAATACTTTCCGCCGGAGTTCAGCACTGATTTAGTGCTAGGGTCTTTTCTGTCTATCCAGTTTACCGTTCGCCATATTGCAGATATGTATCACGATAGATGAGGTACCACAAATATTGATGCCAGCAATCACGGTATGATTTTGTAGGCTTCTTAAAGCCTCATTATGGTCGGCGGTGAGTGTCTCGGGGTTGCAGCTGGTCACCCTCCGCTTGCATCCCACGATCAAGTGTCTCAAATAGCCTCTGCAGAGGAAGCTCTACTCACTGCCTTCTCGTGGCAGAGGTTTTTCTATACCAAAATGAGGGGACGAAAAGCCGATATCCGGGGATATAACCGAGTTGGTGGACTACTGGTAGTTCCCCTCTATTCATGAGAGGTGAATACATTAACAGGTCAAGGATAATAAACACCATTCACGAAATTATCATCATTTTATTTACACTGCAACATGACATGACATATGTACCACGGTGGAGGCTAAAGAATTAGGAGTTTCGTCTAAATTTTGATAGTTAAAAGTGTACTAAATGGGTTGCCTTTTTGCTAACGGTGTTTGTTATCCTCGGCATGTTAATGCATCTATCTTTGAATTGGCGGGACTGAATAAAAACACTATCAGAGGTAACGTGGGAATTTACCCATTGTTTAACAGGAAATGTTGTTTTCACTGAAAAATGTTACCTGATTCGGTAGATGCAACTTGAAGTCTGTTTATTCCACATAAGCGGACCATGTATGTGTGTGTGTCAGCGCAGCGGGGAGCTGTCACTCCATGAGCGCATCAAATGAAATAGAAATGAAGAAAAAGGTGTTCTCCAAGACGACATGATTAGGAAACCATTAGGTGAGGCAAACCTAACTTTATACATATGCCTATTTACGCTCAGTCATTCATTCAACGTGTGGGGAAAATGTCTATCATTCTCTGGGAAAATTTGACATTGCGCTGCAGTTTGTGATGTCACTTGATGTGCACCAGAATCCACACGGAAAATCCTAGAGCTCTCCGCTTGTTGCTTCTGTTGATGATGATGATGATGATGATGGTGAATGACGATGACGCGAAAGAAACTCACTTGACTGTTCTATAGTGTTCTAACACTTTTCAAATGAGTTGGTGAATTCACGGCCGATGTTTATCTACGATGCACACTATCCCAGTCATGCATACTGCATACTGTACCGAGCAAACACATATGACGTTAGCAGCGTTCCCAGTACGTGCGTACCAGATAGCGCAGGTGTGAAATATGTGGACCTGGAGAACAATTTTGTCTGATTTCAACGCACATACGAATGACGTCATTTTTTGTGGATTAATCTATCGAGTGTATCTCACTTCTCATTTTCGGAATCCTAAGATTTCTATTACTCTATCTGCATTGGACTAAAACCAACATCTGTCTTCGTTAGACCAAACAGACATTTGTAATGCGCCAGTCGCATTGGTTTTCATGGTTTTCCTCATATAAATGTGATTGTAAAGGCTTGAAAAGGAATTCACCGAAAATATATGTTTGCCTACACTGTGTTCTTTTTCAGGATGCATTACCGAACAGTCGAAATGGCGAATTTGATTGCATGCGCAAACGTAAAGGGTAGTTTATCACGGATTCCATGGTAAAACAAACATTTAAATGGTAACTAAACCAAAAACAGCTTAGTTCATTTCAACTGCTTCAGTTGAACACTGTAAATTGCCTAGATCCATGGGGAAGTTGAAATCTACATCTTTGATGCTGACAGTGGTGCGGGTGATGGTGAAAGTGATGGCGATGGTGATGATGGTGGTGGCGCTGGTAGTGATGGCGGTGGTAGCGGTAGTGGTGGTCATGATGGTGGTGCTGGTGGTAGTGAGGTGGCGGTAGCGGTAGTGATGGTCATGATGGTGGTGCCGGTAGTAGTGCTGGTGGTGGTAGTGGTGGTGATGGTGATGACGGTGGTGATGATGGTAGTGATGGTGGTGGTGATTGTGTTAGTGATGGTGGTGGCAGTGGTCGTGATGATGGTGGTAGCGGTAGTGGTGGTCATGATGGTGATGATGGTGGCGCTGCTGGTATTGGTGAAGGCGATAGAGTTGGTTGTTGTTGTGGTGACGGTGATGATGAGGTTGCTGGTGATAGTGATGGTGGTGGTAGTGGTGGTGATGGTGATGATGGTGGTGGTGGTGGTAGTGATGGCGATCGTAGTGGTGGTGATTGTGGTGTTGATGGTGATGATGGTGGTGCTGGCGGTAGTGATGGTGGTGGTACTGGTGGTAATGGTGATGGCGTTGCGGGTGGTAGTGATGGTGGTGGTAGAAGTCGTGATGGTGATGATGGTGGTGCTGCAGATAGTGATGGTAGTAGTTGTGGGAGTGACGTTGATAGTGGTGGTTCTCGTGATGGTGACAGTGGTGGCAGCGGTGCTGATGGTGATGATGGTTGTGCTGGGAGTTGTGATGAAAGTAGTAATGGTGGTGATGGTGATGATGAAGGTGCTGGTGGTAGTGATGGTGGTGGTAGTGTTGGTGGTGGTGGTGATGATGGTGGTGTGGTGGTGCTCGTGATGATGGTGATGCTGGTGTTAGTGCTGTTGGTGGTAGCAGTGGTGATGGTGATGATGGTGGAGCTGGTGGTAGCCATGGTGGTGGTAGTTGTTGTGAAGGTGAGGGTGGTGGGGCCGGTGGTAGAGGTGGTGAATGTGGAGATGTTCGTGGTGACGGTGATGATGGTAGTGCTCGTGTTAGTGATGGTTGTGGTAGTGGTGGTGACGGTGATGGTGGTGGTGCGGGTGGTAGTAATAGTAGTGGTGATGGTGATGATGGTGGTGATGTTGGTAGTGATGGTGGTGGTGATGGACATGATGGTGTTGCCGGTGGTAGAGATGGCGGTGGTAGTGATGGTGATGGTGATGACGGTGGGGCTGATGATAGTGATGGTGGTGGTAGTGGTGGTGATTGTGGCAGTGATGGTGGTGGCAGTGGTGGTGATGGTGGTGCTTCTGGTGTTGATGGTGATGATGGTGGTGCTGGTGGTAGTGATAGTAGGGGTAGTGGTGGTGATGGTGTTGATGGTGTTGCGGGTAGTAGTGCTGGTGGTGGTAGTGGTGGTGATGGTGATGACGGTGGTGATGATGGTAGTGCGGGTGGTAGTAATAGTAGTGGTGATGGTGATGATGGTAGTGATGTTGGTAGTGATGGTGGTGGTAGTGGTGGTGAAGGTGATAATTGTGGTGCGGGTGGTAGTGATGGTGGTGATGATTGTGTTAGTGATGGTGGTGGCAGTGGTCGTGATGATGGTGGTAGTGGTGGAGATGGTGATGATGGTGTTGCGGATGGTATTGATGGTGGTGGTAGTGCTGGTGATGGTGATGATGGTGGCGCCGAAGATAATGATGGTGGTAGTAGTGGGAGTGATGTTGATGGTGGTGGTGCTGGTGGTAGTGATAGTGGTGCCAGCGGTGGGGATGGCGATGATGGTTGTGCTGATAGTAGTGATGGTGGTGGTAGTGGCGGTGATGGTGATGATGGTGGTGCTGGTGGTAGTGATTGTGGTGGTAGTGGTGAAGATCGTGATGATGGTGATGCTAGCGGGAGTGCTGTTGGTGGTAGTGGTGGTGATGGTGATGTTGGTGGTGCCGGTGAAAGTGATGGTGATGATGGTGGTGATGCTGGTATGGCTGGTGTTGTTATTGGTGGTGCTGATGATGATGGTCGTGCTTGTTTTCAGTAGTGATGTTGATGGTCGTGGTTGTGAGGGTGATGGTGTTGCGGATGGTATTGATGGTGGTGGTAGTGCTGGTGATGGTGATGATGGTGGTGCTGGTGGTAGTGATGGTGGTGGTAGTGATGGCGTTGGTGGTGATTTTCGTGCTGCTGGTAGTGGTTAATGTGACGGAGTTGGTAGTGGTGGTGATAGTGATGATGGTCTTGCAGATGGTGGTGACGGTGATGATGGTATTGCGCGTGGTAGTGATGGTGGTGCGAGTGGTGGTGATGGTGATGATGATGGTGGTGCTAGTGGAAGTGATGGTTGTGTCAGTGGTGGTGATCGTGATGCTGGTGATGCTAGTGATAGTGCAGGTGTTGGTAGTGGTGCTGATGGTGATGATGTTGGGTTCTCTTGGTAGTGATGGTGATGATGGTGGTGGTCCTGATGATGATGGTCCTGCTGGTGGTATTAGTAATGCGGATGGTGGTGGCCGTGGAGGTGATGGTGATGATGATGGTGCTGGTGGTATTGAGGTGGGGACAGTGGTGGTTATAGCGATGATGATGGTGTTACTGGTGTTGGTGATGGTGGTGGTAGTGGTGGTGATGTTGATTATGGTGTTGCGGGTGGTAGTGATGGTGGTGGTAGTGGTGGTGATGGTGATGATTGTGGTTCTGGTGGTAGTGATGGTAGGGGTAGTGGTGGTGATGGTGATGATGGTGGTGCTGGTGGTAGTGATGGTAGTGGTACTGGTATTGATGGTGATGACGGTTGTGCTGGTGGTAGTGATGGTGTTGGTAGTGGTGGTGATGGTGATGATGGTGTTGCGGGTGGTACTGATGATGGTGGTAGTGGTAGCGATGATGGTGTTGGTGGTTTTGATTGTGGTGCCGAATGTCGTAGTGATGGTGGTCGTAGTGGCGGTTTTGATGGTGATGGTTCTGATGGTGTTAATGGTCGGATTGCCAAACAGTTGGTGCTCGTCTTCATCCATCTCGATCGTCCTATTTCTTATCGCACGGGGCATTTCATAAACGTTAGCTTTACTTTGAAAATTGCCTCAACTTTGTCGGGAATATTGATGGTTGAAACTCGAAGCCTTGAAACAAATGTATGTCATATTTACTTTTTGAATGGCGAGGNGAACGACTGTAATAAAGAACTCATCTTCCGGAACCGTCCGCATTTCGTTTTGTCCACCTTTGCGCTCGGAAAGCATTTGACCTGCGTGATACTCTCATCAGAGCCCAGCAATAGTGTATATCCAATGATTCATTCGCTCTGAACCGCATTTCGACAGAGGTATCCAGGTATGGTATATGCTATGCACCTTCCAAGTGCAAACTGCTTGTTCAAAACCGGCAGGAGCCTATACCTGGGGCCACCCTGTGTGGTTATTAGCTAGAGGTAGATGAGAGCTTTAAGTACCTCGGGAGCTTGATCGCTACTGCTAGTGGTGGTGGTGGGGAGATCACAGCACGAATAGCGAAAGCTAGAGCAGCTTTCGCCAACCTGCGACACCTGTGGCGCCGCCATGACATTCACCTGTCTTTTAAGGGAAGGGTATACATCGCCGCGTTTTGTAGCCTTCTTCTTTACGGTTGCGAGATGATTCATGATCCTAATCGACTTTCGGTATTCGACCACAGATGTATCCGAAGTATGGCTCATGTCTCTAGGACATATTGTGTGAGTAATGACGAGGTTCGCGTCGTGTGTTGGGTGCGGACAGTCGTTCTCTAACAGAATTAATCGCTCTACACTGCCTCCGATGGCTTGGCGACGTATTGCGTATACCTGTCCATCAATTACCTCTCTGTGCTCTCTTCACACGTGCCGGGAAAAGGTTGGAAGAAGCGGCGCGGCGATCAGACAATGATATGGCGTAGAGGCATGAAGAAGCTGGCTTCAACTTTGGCTCCGGTTGGTGCAGCCCACCTTCCAGGTTATGGCCCAACGTATGAGGACTGTCGTTTAGAGACGCTGAGAGATATGGCCCAGAATAGAAGTCAGTGGTACAAATGCTGTACTGTGCGGCTTCCAAAATCCTGTACTTCATAAAAACGACACAAAATATGGTTAACTGTTTCACCTTTTCTCCAGTTTATTATGTACTCCAATCCAGTTACCTCTAATATTGTTATCGTTGGCACTATGTTTGTCTACGAAATCCGGTGTTAAATCAATATGTGGATCATGGTTTCATTTGTGATCTGAACCACAAACTTATAGACTGTATTTGTGTTATCTCTACGATAACCATTTTTTTATTAGGCCTGACTAGAATTCTGGCTTGGTAAATGTTTTGTTCATTAATGATGAATAGCCACTTTACTGTATGTCGATAACAACCAGAAAGGAAACAATGGAACCAAAGCTGTGAACTATGCGATTTTTCACACATTGTTAAACAAAACTCAACAGTTTTAAAAATCATACTGACAAAAGTGCACTCACTATTCTCCGTGACATAAAACCGATGCTATATGCGTCCGTTCGGAACCGAGACTTGAACCTTGCAGCACCCGTACAAGATAAACAGGTCACATTTTCGTTAATTATTCGGAGTATTATCCTTGCTTTCTACTTACTGTGCCCGCCTCGAAAGTCATACGGTTGGGGAATTTCTGAATGTAGTCATTTGACACTGTTTGCCTTCTCCCCGCTGAAGATTTGCCCCGAATTTGGACGTTTGGAATACCCTTCCTTTTGATTCCTGCACGCATATGATTTCACAGTGTTCAATCGGATTGCAATCCGACGAGCATGTTGACCGAAGGAACAGAGACGATTCCAAGCAGTGGTTTATACATCTTTTTATTCCAATCCTCTTCTGCTGAGTAGTCGATGGAACAGATGATTGTTTAAAACAGTAAAAATAAATTGGTCCCAGTAATCAATATCCAACCAGGATCAGAAATTTAGTACTTTCGTTCGCGCACATTTCCTCTAGTTCCGTATGGAATCATCGTGTCCCGATACATCGGGATCGGCCGCACTTTCATCTTTACACGCTATACGCAGTCACTAAACAAACCTTTCATACACCGGGTATCATGAGTGCGGATCACCGGTTACCACGTTTCTATGCAAGACTGTACACGGTGACATTGTCCAGTGAAGCATCACTTGTCTACAGATGTGTGTGTGTGTGTGTGTGTGAGAAGCATAATGCTTTTTGCTCCCCAGTATCCAAACTCGGCTGATTAGTGTTCTTACTAAAACAGCAAAAAGTATTTCACATGCGTAGTACTGTTTCGAGAAACAGAGACGGGCTTGGTCTACACCGTTCTCGACAGACACCGATTCATTTATTCGTGTGTCGAGATTGTGAAGCTTCAGTAGCTTCGATGTGGGATTCGAACCCACGCCGCCTACACTTTGTACGCGCATGCTGTACTGGCTAAGCTACGAGGTAACACCGAGGTAACACACTGATCTTTTCCTATTCGGATTACTCATCCAAGTTACAGAGGTATATGACATCCACCAGGTAGCGCATGTGAGCTGACTGCCCCCCCCCCCGACAGGTTTTCCTAAGAATTCACCGAAGTCCACCGAATGAGCTTCTAAGACAAAGTTAATTGTTTCAAATTGTTGTTCGGTAGATTTGAAGTTTTTATCGGTTCCATTCGCACCCACGCTACTGAACTTTTCACAATCTGGATGTAAAAATCTTCAAATCTGCCGAAAACGAAAACAATTTGATCATTTATTATTGGTCTGTGAGCACTACCATAATACCTTTAATCGGAGCCATTCCTCTACGAATATGATCCCAGATAGCACGGGTTCAACAAAAAATAACACAATTATCGTATGTGATTTGTATGTGTGTGTACCCCTTTGGAAGGGTCAATCTGAGAGTGGTTAGGATTGATCTGGTGGTAACACTAATCATATGCATATATACTTCTCAAAGCGGTTTTCTTTTAAATGACCGATTTTTACGACTGACAGTATGTCAAGTTACGATGACTCGTTTTAATAAACACTCTTTTCCAAAGACCCAGTTACTTCTTCGATGGACAAATGACAAACCGCTTGATAAAATCTAACTGCCAGTAGGCATTGAGGTTCTAACTCCTGATAAATCTGACCGGTGGTACTAGGCAACGGAGCCACTCTGTCAGCCGCTATTCAGTGATCAAATCATGGATTTGGAACTGATTTCGCTCAATCAATTCCTTTCACAATTATTACTTTGTACACTATCAGAGTAGTATCAACAAAGGAATTTGATTCACCTTCACACTCCAGAATCACTAGTGGTCGCAAAATTTGAAAACAACCTATTTGTAACCTATTTGGCGATGCTAATCAAGTTACGTAACCCAATATTATGAGCACAAAAATTTCTTACTCAATCAGTCAAACTGCCATGGACCTGATTTCCCACCCTACCCTCGCGCCTGCTTCCCTGACTATTGTTCGTTTTACCATTGTGGTTGTCAAAACTTGTTTGTATAGATAGATACCAGATTGTTTTACGTTATAGCGACTGAAGAGATAAAAAGGAATGTTAACGTATCGTAGTATTTGTCTTCTATTTGGAATGCCTGCATCACAATATGGTGAACCTCGTCGTGCATAGAGCAAATGAAGCGTGACCTCGAGCCCTAAGAAGTACTGTTTCGACCTGGTTGAGTCTCGTCAGCCATGTGAACTCGACCGCACCTGACCGTGGATCAAACCGGGAACCTTAGAGGTAGCACAGGAAGCATACTACCCAGCTGACCTCTCCCCCACCCTAGTCAGACTGCTACTTTATTTTGTGTTTGCACAATGCAACAGAATACATTTTACAAGCTGGTTGTGGGTATCACATCTGGTATATTTGAGCACTAGTCTCCAGACTTGGTTGAAAGTATCCGGAACCTAACCGCGAGAGGTGAAAGATTCGATTTCATCACAGGGTGAACCCCATCGTGTACAGAGCAATCAGGTAGAAACAACTGTACCGCATATCCTGGCTTTTCAATTCACGCTTCACTATAGAATCAAAGCAACTCCTTCTGTACTCTCATGCACCAAATATGGAAGAAATTTGATCGAGAAAATTAATACAAGTCCAGTTAAGTACAAACTAATCTGGCTGGACAACGGTTCCAAGTGTACGCGGTGAGTGAACATGGGACACTGGTCTAAAAGTGTACTCGCCAGGACACGGAAGATAAAGTACCTTCACGTGTGTGATTGAAGAGACTCCGTGCTTCAAGAACAACTGATCCGCGGTTTCGTTTCTTTCCCAATACGAAATTCTAATTCGGAGTAGGGAGTTTGACCAAAACCACTGAATCAGAGTTGTGTCATTTTAAGCCCACGTTATTTTTTCTCTTTTTGGTTCACACGAACATTATCAACGGAAAACGTAATCATCATTCTCTCTTCGTGTAAACTGGTTATCGTGTTACGTGTTGTCGTATCACGCTTGATTCGCGTGATGCATGACACATGCCAATCACTTGAGCAAAAAATAACTAACTGAACACGCGGAATCGCGGTGAGCAGAATGTGAGCAGGTTGTGCCAATTCGGAAAAACCCGATAAAGCTAAGACAATTTTCACATGAGTAAAGTGCAAAACAAAACATGTGAGCACGGTTGTTCGGATTGGGGCAAATCATTTAGTGTGTGTGTTTTAAGGAATCGAACCGTAGGTGGAACAATCTCGTGTTTAATTTTGAGTTATAACAATGGTGAGGGTGGAGGGTGTAAGGAGAGAAGTTGAGTCACCACAGTTCAACGGGGGGGATCTGAAGAACTCCCAGACCCAGATGACAACCAAGGGATGAACGAGCACAGTAGACAATTTTTATTCGAAATTCGCAAAAAAAACGAGGAAAGGAAAATGTTCACAAATGTTTGGTAGCATGCCAATCGTATGATAATCGCATTTGTTGAATCAGAACACGAATCACGTGATGAGAAGAATTCTTATGTGTGCATGGCGAGACGGCAAACTTTGATCGGTAAGCTTCGAACTAGCACGCTCACTGAGACCAGACTGACACATGTTCCACATAGTTGCAGTCCGGGAGAGAACATTCACCGGGTCCCAGAGTGAGTAGCGTGCTCGTTAGAAGCCTTTCGGTGATCCGTGCGGCAGTAGATCATGCAAATCTCCTGGCTTTTCACAATCCCCACATAAACCTTCAATCTGCCAACCAATCATGTTTTTGCAATATTAGTCCAGTTCGTGCCATACACCTCTACCTTGGCTGTAATGATGTCACTTATCAGTGATGTTATACCTTAAACCAACCCGGCTAATGAATGTGATGTA